TCTCTCTGCCATAACATTTTCCGCTCCCGGCAGAAAAACGAAGGTGGAGCGCTCTCGCGAGACGAGGTGCTCTTGCGATACAGCTAACCTGTTTTGAGAGACCGCTCTTTGCAGCCCCATGACAATGCCTTGACGGCTCAACTTACACTCTGACCCGTGAAGAAATGTAACGATTTATAGAAAAGAAAAAAGACCAAGGAACTACAAGTTACGCTATAATGTCCACTAACTTGTAGTTCTTCACTAGTCTGAGGGAAAGAGTTCCTTGGTCCTTTTTCTTTTCTATTCATTGATTATGATGGAGGCTTGACAGGCGAACAGTCATGCTTACATGTTTCAAGCGTGTCGCCAGCAGGTTGCAGAACATGTCGCTGTAGCAATAGACGGCAAGGTGTATGAGCCAGAGCAGGGCGTTGTCGCCATGCGTCTGCGTCAGGAAGAAGATCACTCGCCACGTGAAGTACCACAGAACATCGGTATGAAGAACCTATACACACGCACACAGAGAAGTACAGGTCAGCATGATGTTGGATATTACAACGCCAACGGGGCAGCAGCAGCAAGCATCACAGCAGCAACACACAGAACAACGGTAGCACCACCACCAGGACGAGTAGCAGCAGTAGGAGCAGTGGCACCACCACCAGAACTAGACAACTAGACAGCTAGCAGCAGCAGCAGCAACAGCAGCAGCAGCAGCAACAACAGCAGCAGCAGCAGCAACAACAGCAACAACAGCAGCAACAACAGCAACAGCAGCAGCAACAGCAACAGCAACAGCAGCAGCAACAGCCGCAGCAGCAGCACTCTTGTTCTGGGAGAGCAGAACCAAAATGCACCTTTTATTAATGCTAAATTTGCTACACGCACCAACTAGCAAGCAGGCTCATGGATTACTGGACTGCTGTGAACCACCACTACATCACTACTGTAGGTGACAGCAGCAGCAGCACCACCACCACCGGCAGCAGCAGCAGCACCACCACCGGCAACAGCAGCAGCACCACCACCGGCAACAGCAGCAGCACCACCACCAGCAACAGCAGCAGCACCACCACCGGCAACAGCAGCAGCACCACCACCGGCAACAGCAGCAGCACCACCACCGGCAACAGCAGCAGCACCACCACCGGTAGCAGCAGCAGCAGCAGCACCACCACCACCGGCAACAGCAGCAGCAGCAGTATTGCACAAAGAGAGCAAAAAGCAGACTGACAGGGAAGTATATTCTGGCCAGGGAGAGAATTCAAACATTGCGTGAATATCCACACTTCTGACAGGCACATAGTGCAATACGAATCGGTGATGGGTGACAACGTAGAGCGTATCGTCCACATTAGCATGTAGAAGAGGGGGGATTACCCCCATCATCTACACTCCACTGAAGACAGTGAGCTCAGTGTGAAAACTTCTCGACTTTCCTCACATATGCTCTCAACCTGGTCACTGACTAGCACTCCTCACTGACTAGCACTCCTCACTGTCAGCAGTTTGTTGGTGACAAACCAGCTAGGCACTTCAACTTCACCCTGCCAACAAACAACTGATCTACAGGAAGAGAGCGACTGCACTATTCCTCAAGGAGGCTTTCAGAACAGGACCAGCAAGGCTGAAGTGCTAAGATACCATGATAAGCAGCTCTGTCTCCATGTGGCATGGTCCAGTCACTATTCCCTTATACATTTCCCCACAATAGTATTCGCCGGGCATTTCTGCTACTTGATTACTGTAATTTCACAATATATTTTTAGGTTCTGAGGAGGAGGGAGGGAGGGGTTTGGTCAAACTAAAATAATTCTTTTGGTGAAAAAAGTTCGATATTCACGGACGCCCCTTAGTAATACGATACACAGTACAAGTACTAAACAAACTTCCGCTATCAAATAATAAATTCCGGAAACAGGCAAAAGTTCTCTGGTTCGCAAATATTCATGTTTACGTGGTCTCCGTGGCTATGTGAAATTCCGTGTCTATACACTCTCAAGAGTCAAGACTCTGCAGTGATGTGACTGTCTGCTGCCCAGGATTCTAGCAAGGTCAAAATAGTAGCGGGGGGGGGGGGGGGGGGAGGGGCAGGGGAAACAGTTACTGTGAAAGCCATATATATAACGAAGTGCTAATTCTAACGAGTTAACGAGGAAAACTCTGTCGTTAAAATAAAAATAGTTACACAGAAATCGATACTTATACTGTTGCTATTGAGCGTTGAGAATGAGTGAGAATCGTTACCTTTGGTACACGTAAACCAGTCAATTTTAGGAAATCGTTATGTATGCGCCTCGTTAGAATAATGACTTTTACAGTACCCCGTAACCCATTTGTCCACATGGGAGGCACCCCCCTCCCCCCCCCCCCCTCCCTTCTTTGGCTAGAACCCTGCTCCCCTGTGTATGCCTGCCTGCCACCACCCCCCCCCCCCCCCCCCCCCCCCCCCCCGTTCTCTATTTCGCCCCACTCACCTGTGTCTCGATAGGCTGCAGGAATGAGCCGATGCTGAGACGCCAAGCTACCACCAACGCCCATACGGCAGCACAGTGCAGCAGGTTGATGTAGACAAACGGCATCTGCACACACACACACACACACACACACACACCACACACACACACACACACACACACACACACATACACACCATGTATACACACACACGCGCGCACACACGCACACACACACGCACACACACACACACGTACACACACACACACACACACACACGTACACATACACACACACGTACACACACAATGGTCAGACCTAGTGACCATCTGAGTGCATTTTTATCAACTTCACGAATAACAACTCGCAAATAACAACATTCACATGTTTCTTATATCCGATCGAGGGCAGCTATCCGCAAGGTTAGCTCTACTCTTGATCCCATGTACATAATATTTCTGTCATTACACTCCACGAACACATAGAACTTGGCAAGCACAAGACTCACGATCAAACTCAGCTGATGGAGATCTTCGGTGCCATCTTGTAACTCTGGCATCGCTCCAGCAAAGTAGCCAAACATGGCGGCGATTATGGTGTGCGGCATGAGCATCGGCACTGGCCAAGCCATCGCCTGGCGAATCTGCGCGGCCAGAGGCATCTTTCGAATGTTGAAATACTCAATTCAAAATTGTTTGCATGTACAGCTGACCGACGTACTAGTATCTACAATTCATCTGAACTCACAGCTCACTCTCAGCCGAGCCTGCGGCGATGAGTGCTAGCCTACTCCATGAAGACGAGGGGGTATAGCAGCTTACTCTCCTTGTCTGCAAGTCGGGTGACATTTCTGGCGAGCTGCATTCAAGAGTAACTCCAGCCTCCACACGTACACCAGAAGGAACTCACGCATCCGAATGAAATCCGCAGGAAAATACTTTTCCTGATTTGATTTCGAGTCTTTTTTTTTAAGCGTGACGTCATGAAAATGAGTCATTCAGAATCAATCACGTCATTCATTTGTACTTGTAGTGGTGACTGCATTACTTACAAGTCCGCATGATTGTATCAAGATTCAAGACTCAAAGAGTTTATGAACTCTTGATTGTATCAAGAGTACATAAACCTTTATGTACTCTTGATTGTATGTGTACGAGGCTAGATAAACCTTGTTGTTGGTTGACAGCCTTGTCACCCAACAACAAGGCATCTATAAACATGAGCAACAATTTTGCATGTACCGGTAGATCTACATTAGTACATCAGGGAGTCGTCAAAGTCATGTAATGACATTAGTCACAGAAACCCTGGCCCTAACCCGGTTCATACAGCAACGCACAGGCATGTGCATGTGCTTGGAGAAGCAACACGTCTATACTATTATCAAGAGTATAGATGATTAATCGCACTAAAACAATATTATTATCAATGTGTGGTACTACTAGTAATGGCAATTCTGCACCGAATCAATACCTACATGATTGTACAAGTACATACAATGTAAACCCACACACGTACACACTTGCTACCAACCACCTCCATGTTATGCGGGGGGGGGGAGGGGGGGGGGGGGGGGGGGGTCCTGCAATTCAGTATTATTTTGTGTGGGTGTGTGGGTGTGGGTGTGTGTGTGTGTGTGGGGGGGGGGGGGGGGGGGGGGTATATTGCGTCCGGTAGCTGCCGAGTACAGGGGCAATAATAATGTGTCCCGGTGCATGATATCGGCCGACAAAGTCCGTAATCCGACAGCCGAACCCTCCCGTCCACCCCCCCCCCCCCCCCCCACACACACACACACACGTACACAGACATGCAACGGCACACCAGACTGCACACAACAGTCTACACTGCATCACGTTCTGATTCTCTCACGCCGTCTGCACGCACTACGGGTTGCAAGTGGCACACTGGCAGCTTTGACAAGGAAAATATAAGTATACAGTCTCCAGCTTTCACACCAGGGGGGAGTATCCCCGTCTGAACTACATTCTCTCCCGCGGTCACCATGGGTTAAAAAAAAGGATGTGGAATTTCGGGAAGTGCGGCGGCTGGGCAACAGAATACGAAGCCAGGGAGGTGTAGTAAAATATCTACTCCCTGACGAAACTCCAATCTATGTGCAGATATATGCGTACACTCACCATCACAGGTGGTGTTGACAGCTGGCAAAACGTGTGCAGTGAAGAGAAAAAAAGAAGGAGAAGACTTTCTCTACCGAAAAAGAAACTTGAAATACAGTATTGCCAGGCATTGGTGGTGGGTGGGGTTTGGGTTCGAAAGGCCGCAAAGCCTGGAGCTAGCAGATCAGACGGGTTACTCAGTGTGGTCAGGCATTGGTGGCATGTGGGGTTTGGGTTCGAAAGGCCGGAAAGCCTGGAGCTAGCAGATCAGACGGGTTACTCAGTGTGGCCAGCACACTAACGAAAATAAGAGAGAGAGAGAGAGAGAGAGAGAGAGAGAGAGAGAGAGAGAGAGAGAGAGAGAGAGAGAGAGAGAGAGAGAGAGAGAGAGAGAGAGAGAGGAGTAGGACGGTTGCTGCTGCTGCTGCTGTTGCTATTATGTACACGGGCAATATATGATGCCGTAACGGGTACACTGCAGCAGCAGCAGAACATCACCCTACAAGCACGGGTTCACCAAGCACAGTCACCGTTGGTAGAGACGAAACTTGGCCATGGCGTTGTGGAAATAAAGTAATACACACACGCACACGTGGACCGACTTGCTTGCTAGCATTGCAAACAAGAAACGCTCCACTGTTCAGTTTTCTCATCGGCAAGAGTCATGGCCGCGATAAAAAAAAGGGTAAGACCGAAATGAAGCTGATCTTCATAAGGAGAAACGATAAGATCACCTGTAAACGCAATCAGCAGATTGGCTTCACTGGGGGGTTATTGCACATAGGAACCAAGGAAGAGTAAGGGGGGGGGGGGGCAAGAACTTTCTACTTGGTGGTGTGTCTGGTCAGGATTCGCACTGGTACTGCGATGCTGGCCGGGTTGAGGCACACGTGGCGGACGCAGCCAACATGAAACTGTCTTCTCTCTCGTAGAGTAGACGGTGCATGGGCAGGGGAGCGCTTGGAGAACACTGAAAGTCTCACTCACTTGCCGCACAACATCCCAAGTACCGGGGGCACCAGTATGCACCATCACTCACTTGCCACACATCCCAGGTACCGGTTGCACCAGTATGCACCATCACTAACAAAGCCGGAGATCTCATCACGTTGCCATGGTACAGCTCAACGGCGGACGACAGGTACTGCCTGCCGTCTCGGACCGCGGGCAGCCTGGCATTGTTGTAGCGACATCACTCCTGATAGAAGAGCCTCCGTGGATATGTACAAACGTGCCCTGGCACACAAACCTGGACACGTGTGTGTGCGAGGGTGGAGACCTTAGGCGCGGATTGAAGAATAGTGACGGCACACTACTGTCACTAGCTGGCCTTAGCATGAGCCTCGACGGTTCCAGGAATGGGTCATGACCAACAGACCAGCCCACACTCGACATCATTGACTACATCATTCATTACATCATTGACTACATCGTTGATTACATCGTTGATGACATCATTGATGACATAATTGATGACATCATTCTTGTCATGCACTGTTCTTGTGAATGTACATGACGGCGGTGGGCACTGGCGACTGTGCCTCGCTCTGGCTCTCCAGCAGGGCGGAGCGCACGCGGCGCGTGGTGCGCTGCAGGCGTCCCAGCGACTCGCTCAGCCCCTGGTCCATACGGGGCAGGCCGCCGCCGCTCGCATTACTGCTACCGCTGCTGCCGATGCTGCTCACGCTGCTGCCCCTGGAGGACACTGGAATCCTGGACGGCAGGACTGCGGACGAAAGCCAGTCGTCGTGGCTCACATGCTGCTGCTGGTGGTGGTTGGGGGCAGCAGCGGTGGTGGTGCTGTTGCTGGGTGAGATGCGGCGGAAGCACGAGTTGGACGACGGGATGATCTGCTGGGAGGCACGCGGCGACACATTGGAGTGCCTTCTTCGCGGGCTGCTCAGCGCTGATTGGTCGGAAAACATGATGGGAGACCGGCACGGACTGATCGGTATGGGGTGCGAGATATCCCGTGCTGGCGACGTGCAAGCCTCCCTACGCGCATCGATCGTCATCGGGAACTGGTTCTGCCGCCGCTCCTGCTGCTCGTGGTGATAGGGTTTGGGATGCTCGATGACGGTCAACGGGCTTCTTGACATCGGCGACAGGCAAGGGCTGGGTGTGTGCGACAGTGCTGGCACCAGTGGAGAGCTTGTCGCGCCAGGTGTCGGCGACGCTTGTTGCTGGCGCAGTACGGAGGCGCGTCGCGACGGCGTGGGCGAGAGAAGCGGAGACGATAGCGCGTCCACCAGGTCCTCACTAGTGCCACTGTGCTGGTGAGCCATCAGGCCGTGGTGAGAGGAACACCTGGACATCATCGGAGACGCACTATCGCCGCTCCGCCGGACAAACACGCCGTCCAGGACGGGCGAGTTCCGAGAGAAGCGTCGACTGTTCAGCGCATACTGCTGAGACGCAGGCGACACCGACGACGTTAGGCTTGGCGACATTCTCTCGTACATCACGAGGCTGTTGGAGCGCATCGGCTGCGACTTGCACGGCGACGCAGCAGCAGCCGGAGCGGCTATGTCCTGCGACGACGGCATGTAGCAGCTGTTGATGTCGGAGTTGCGCACCGGCATCGTCGTCGTGCCGACCGGGCCGCTGGCACCCATGGAGTAGCGCGCCCCAGTGACGGACTGCCGCTGCTGCGGGGTGCCGGATTGGTTCTCCGACGACGGCCCCGACCCCTGGCTACCGTCCACGCTCAGCGAGGTCGAAGTGCGCGCAGGCAATGACGGGTAGTCCACGGATCGGGAGTCGGCGCGGGCGTAAGACTGGCCTTGCGTTGTCGACGACGACGGAGACGTCGGCGGGAGGGCAGTCGAAGCCGGTGCAGGATGCCCGGCACCAAGGTCAAATGGCATTGTCGTGTCGAGCTGGTTCGACATCAGGAAGCGGGATTTGAACAGCAACGACTGATCTTGATTAAAACAGGATGGAGGTGCATGCATTGTCGACGTGGGGATGCCATAGGATGACTGCAGCATCAGCCGACGTTGAGTGAACTTCTTTTCCGCGGCCATCTAGAGTAGGAAACGTGCGGAGCACAAAAACACACGTGCAACAGACACAGATACACACAAAGATGCAGAGACACAGACACACGCACACCTCAAGTCAGCACACAGCAAAATCAATCACTGCAGTTCACAAATTCATTTCAGATGATGGCTATTTCATGACGGAAATGTGGATACATTTTTTTCTGAAATGAATTTGTGAACCGCAATGATTGAGTGTGGGCCAGGGTTACTTAGAACCCTCTTCTACTTATGAACCTGCGTGAAGCGTCCTACAGGATTCTTGCAACAGTATAACAGCTACTGGGCAGGATTTGCTCCCCACACTGGAGCTGGTGCTCATCAAATCATCGCCGAAGTCGCTTCCACTATTTCGTAGTGTAACTACTGAACTGAACAATTACACATGTGACAGTACATGTACCAGTACATAGGACCGCCGGAAGGAATTTTCAATTGGTCAGGTCGTACCATAGTCTTTCCTACTTTGTGTATAACATGGCGGTTTGTGTATAATATGACGGTTTGTGTATAATATGACGGTTTGTGTATAATATGGCGGTTTGTGTATAATATGGCGGTTTGTGTATAATATGGCGGTTTGTGTATAATATGGTGGTTTGTGTATAATATGGCGGTTTGTGTATAATATGGCGGTTTGTGTATAATATGGCGGTTGGTGTATAATATGGCGGTTTGTGTATAATATGGTGGTTTGTGTATAATATGGCGGTTTGTGTATAATATGGCGGTTTGTGTATAATATGGCGGTTTGTGTATAATATGGTGGTTTGTGTATAATATGGTGGTTTGTGTATAATATGGCGGTTTGTGTATAATATGGCAGTTTGTGTATAACATGCCGGTTTGTGTATAATATGCCGGTTTGTGTATAATATGGCGGTTTGTGTATAATATGGCGGTTTGTGTATAACATGCCGGTTTGTGTATAATATGGCAGTTTGTGTATAATATGGCAGTTTGTGTATAACATGGCGGTTTGTGTATTACATGGCGGTTCGTGTATAACATGGCGGTTTGTGTATAACATGGCGGTTTGTGTATAATATGGCGGTTTGTGTATAACATGCCGGTTTGTGTATAATATGGCAGTTTGTGTATAATATGGCAGTTTGTGTATAACATGGCGGTTTGTGTATTACATGGCGGTTCGTGTATAACATGGCGGTTTGTGTATAACATGGCGGTTTGTGTATAACATGGCGGTTTGTGTATAACATGGCAGTTTGTGTATAACATGGCGGTTTGTGTATAACATGGCGGTTTGTGTATAATATGGTGGTTTGTGTATAATATGGCGGTTTGTGTATAATATGGCGGTTTGTGTATAATATGGCGGTTTGTGTATAATATGGTGGTTTGTGTATAATATGGCGGTTTGTGTATAATATGGCGGTTTGTGTATAATATGGCGGTTTGTGTATAATATGGTGGTTTGTGTATAATATGGTGGTTTGTGTATAATATGGCGGTTTGTGTATAATATGGCAGTTTGTGTATAACATGCCGGTTTGTGTATAATATGCCGGTTTGTGTATAATATGGCGGTTTGTGTATAATATGGCGGTTTGTGTATAACATGCCGGTTTGTGTATAATATGGCAGTTTGTGTATAATATGGCAGTTTGTGTATAACATGGCGGTTTGTGTATTACATGGCGGTTCGTGTATAACATGGCGGTTTGTGTATAACATGGCGGTTTGTGTATAATATGGCGGTTTGTGTATAACATGCCGGTTTGTGTATAATATGGCAGTTTGTGTATAATATGGCAGTTTGTGTATAACATGGCGGTTTGTGTATTACATGGCGGTTCGTGTATAACATGGCGGTTTGTGTATAACATGGCGGTTTGTGTATAACATGGCGGTTTGTGTATAACATGGCAGTTTGTGTATAACATGGCGGTTTGTGTATAACATGGCGGTTTGTGTATAATATGACGGTTTGTGTATAACATGGCGGTTTGTGTATAACATGCCGGTTTGTGTATAATATGGCGGTTTGTGTATAACATGCCGGTTTGTGTATAATATGGCAGTTTGTGTATAATATGGCAGTTTGTGTATAACATGGCGGTTTGTGTATTACATGGCGGTTCGTGTATAACATGGCGGTTTGTGTATAACATGGCGGTTTGTGTATAACATGGCGGTTTGTGTATAACATGGCAGTTTGTGTATAACATGGCGGTTTGTGTATAACATGGCGGTTTGTGTATAATATGACGGTTTGTGTATAACATGGCGGTTTGTGTATAATATGGCGGTTTGTGTATAACATGGCAGTTTGTGTATAACATGGCGGTTTGTGTATAATATGGCGGTTTGTGTATAACATGGCGGTTTGTGTATAATATGGCGGTTTGTGTATAATATGGCGGTTTGTGTATAATA